AATTCCCTTTCTCAAATTTTGCCAACTCTAGTCAAGGATATTATCAAGAAAGTTCATATCAAACATCACAACCCCAATGGTGCTCATTTTGTGGTGGGAATCACTTTGTGGAAAATTGTTACATGCTCAACCCCACCAACCATATCCATCAACAATCTACTCAAGGATTTTGTGCCAACATGAGTCAAGCTACTTATCAAAGATGCACACCACCTACTCCACAACCCTCATGGTGCATGATATGTGGTGGATCTCATGAGGCGGAAAATTGCTTTATCATGGATCCCAATTACAAGTATCAAGGGCGAGCTCAAGAGTTGCCGTACCAAGAGTTTCAACAAGATTGTCAATCACTTGACCAAATAATTGAGATGAAGTCCAAAGAGACCAAGGTAATGCAATTGTGCTCGAAATATCTGGAGTTACAAGATCACATGAAGGCTCAACTTGATCGCATGAATGCTCGACTCGATCACATGATGGCTCGACAGCAAGATTTGACAATTCAAGAGCCACTTCAAGATTCATTTAATGGAGAGGTTCTAGAAGAGTTGCTCTTGCCAAATGAAGGTCATGAAGTTGAGAGAAATAAAAAGGATGATGAGGATCTTAGAAAGGAAGATGAAGAAATATTTGATAAATGCATTGAGATGGAGACACCAAGCTGGGAGGAAAATGTAGAGTTGCAAGGTAATGATGGCAAGGAACATATAGAGAGTTGCCCATTAGATGAGGAAGTTCTTAATGGAGCACATGATTTGAATAAGGATGTCTCACCAATGGAGAACACTTCCCTTGGAGAGAACTTCAGAGAAATTTTGAATTTGGGAGGCATTGGAGTTCTTAAGGATAATGGCACACATTTGCCTATCTATATATCCAATGATTCCCAATACTTGCTGGTTCATGTGAATGATCCGAGACTCTCATTACTTGTTGAACAAAAGAGTGTTGAAAAAGAAGGAAAAGAGAATGGAGGCATAATTCTTGATTCGGGCAAATGTGGTTCCTTACATGATGACGTGAAGGGTTCGAGCTTAAGAGAGTTTATAAATGGACACCACTTGAAGAAATACTTGGAAGAGAAAGTTGATGGAAAGAAGGGGATTTTTCTTCTCCAATCACCTGATGGCTAGAGAGGTAACGTCGAGCTAACGACGTTAAATTTAGCGCTTCATGGGAGGCACCCCATGTTATCTTTTATTACTTTCCCTATTTATTTATTGCTTTCTAGTTTCGTCTTATTTAGTTTTATTATTTTCTAGTTCGTGATTATTTTATTGCTTTTTAGTTTTCTCTTTTCTCTTATTCTCCTTTTCTTTTATTTTGCATCAGGGATGATGCAAAGTTTTAAGTGTGAGGGGGAGGAATCATTAATTTGGGGATATTTCTAAAATTTTTAATTTTTTTTGCTTTTGCTTGGATGACTCATATGCTATTTTTGGTGAATAAGTTACTTGTCTTAGCATGCAGTTACAATTACTCTCTCTTGTTGGTTTGTGGTTTGTTTTAGTGGTGCTTGCTGCATCTCAATTTGTGATGGATGATTTGAGGTGTAACACATATTTGATCTATTCCCTTGCCAATAGCTTTGTTAACCACTTAATAATTGGATTAATTCTTGATCTTGTGTTTTGCATTGATAGTGAAGGCTTATGTGAGATTCCGGTCATGGGTGTTTTGCTAGAACTTGCCTCATTACTCCATAAGTGATATCTAAGTTTTGCATGTTTTGAAGTGATTTAGGCCATTTTTGTTTAGCCATAGCCTTTAAACCTGTCCCTATATATATTTTTATCCTTCGTATCACCGTTGTGCCTTTTGTTTGTTTAAATAAGTGCTAAGCACTTATCCCCTCTTTGTGATTGTTTTTCTTTGATTTACCCCATTATTATAACCCTTAACCCGTGGCCAAATATTTCCCTTCCACCCTTGAGAGAATGAAACTTTTATCTTTATATTTTCCGTAAGAAGAGTTTTATGGAGTTGTGCTAAAAAAAAAAAGCAGCTAGTGTTACAAATGTTCAAGTGTGGAGGTCATGAAAGTTTGGATTAAAATTATCTTGCTATATCCAAAAGAAGTCCAAAGACAAAGAAAAGAATGAAAAAAAAAAATTGAAAGTTTTTGAGTTTGGATCCCCACTTTACCAAAGAGATGCTAAGTTCTTAAAAGAAATTTGCTCCTTGAAATTATGATTATCTCATCTCTTCCAAATTTTGAAAAGTTTAGATAAATTGTGACATTCTCTCTTTTTGATTAATTTTTCCATACCACTTCTTTGTTAGCCATCACCTGTAGCCCCATTACAAGCTAAATAAAGTCCTATTTGATCTTAGCATGCATTCTTAGATTTGATCTAGGGGAGTATGAAGGGCAAGCCTATGGGATCTCATTCATGAGCCGTGTCTTGCATAATCTCAACTGAGTATTTGTCCACACTTGATCCTCACATACTTTAAATTCTTGGTGCTTGGTTATTGGCTTGGAAATGGGTCTCTTATGTGTCAAACTAATTTGATTCTTGAAGCTTGTTGTTTTGTAGCAAGTTGGTTGGTGGTTTAAAAGGTTGTGCAAGAGAGAGCATGAGTAATTTGTATGTTTTGACTTGTGATTTTATTCCTTAGTTTTGCTTGAGGACAAGCAAAAGCTTAAGTGTGAGGGGGTGATGTTATCACATTTGTGCTTGTTTTTATGGTTATTTTGAATCATCACAGTAATTAAGCTCTTTAATTTTGCTTATTTAATACATGTTTTCCTTGCTATTATCATTTAATTATGGTTCGCACTTGTTTTGAATATTTTACGGTGTTTGTTAGTATTTTTGAACCATTTTAGGTCAAAGATATGACCAAGGGGAGTTCAAGGATGAGTTTGGAGCAATTTTGGATGAGTTCGGGGCCCAGTGGACTCGACGCGTCGAGCCAAGGGCTCGACACGTCGAAATTTTCCAGTAGCTAATTAATTCGCACACAGGAAGTCTCGACGCGTCGAGAAAATTCTCGACGCGTCGAATATGCGTCTGTTTCTGGGATAAAAACAGACGCCTAAAGCGGCGCGGATAAAAAAAACAGACGCCTAAAGTGGCGCAGCTGGGCAAAATTCAATACAAGCGCGAGATTTCTTTTCCTAATATCAATTGCGCGGACTTCAAGGCTCATATCTCCATATTAAAAGTTAGCAATTCAAGGAATCTTCCAAATTCTAAATATCATTAAAGACGACAATTTCTTTGTTTAAATATAGGAATTAGAATTTGAGTCCAATTTGGTACAAGATTCCTATTTCATCTCAACTTTGTACCCACTATAAAATCCCTCCTTCCTCAACCCTAAGGGGAGACCGAGACCGAGAGATTTTTAGAGTTCTTTGTAGACAAGAGAGAGAGAAATCAAGAGGCTCAAGTCGTCTTTGGAAGCAAGGAGGAAGCCAGGGAGATTTGGGAGAATCGCTTGGTTAATTCTTGTACTCTTCTGATGATTTGTAATCCTTTATTCATATTTGCTATGTATAATTTAGCCATGCTCGGCTAAATTCCTTAGGGATTTTTGGGTGAATTCGTTTATGAACCTATGTGCCTAGTTCGTTAATTTCTTAATATATTTATGTTTGGTTTTATGATTTGTGTTGCAATCTTGTTTTAATCAGTTGTTGTTGGTAGTTAAAGGCCTAAATTACTAGCTTCACAGTCATGTTTGTGTCACCAATGGGAGTTGGGGCATAAATTAGGGCACACACGATTGCACCTAATGGTTGGTCCTTGGGAAAGGGGAACTTATTAGGGGAAGTTTATTCTAGATTATTGCTCATCGGGAGATGGTAGTAATTAGGAATAATTGAATGCTGATCTTTGATATTATTGGGTGTTTAAGCCATGGGAGTGGAAATTCACTAGGAATAGAGATTACGGGAGTAATTCGATTCCACTTTGCATTCCCATACAAATCTTAATTCCAAACCAAATATTACAAACGTTAATTGGCACTAGGTGATTAAACATTGTGATCCCAAGAATCCTATTTTGCTCTATTGTCTACAAAACCTTGCTACTTATTTTATTCTGCTTGTTATTTTATGCAATCAATCAACCTTCAAGTTTTGTTCGGACTAGTTTCATATGAGTAACCTAGTAGCTAGTGATTAGTGCACCACCTCTCTGTGGTTCGACAACCCGAATACTCCGGGTATTATTTGTTTGCCCCAAATTACAGCAATCAGACATCATTGTATTACACGCATTAAACGGTGTTCACTAAATTACTATATTGTAATAACTTGCAAGATATAAGATATCAAAAGGACTATTTGGTGTCCTATAAAATACATATATAACTGAGTAAAAGCATATGTTATATATAAATTTTTTAGTACTTCTTCTTCTTCTACCAAAAATTGAAAAAAAAAATTAGTATGTACTATGTAGTTACTAATGAGAGATTTGGTATTGTGGTCCTGTAGGATGGTGGAGATAAAATAAAATAGGATAAATGACCGAAATGGGAAGGAAAGGAAAAAATGACAAAAATAGAAAGTTTTTAAAAAATGAATAATATTGGGAAAAACTCAATTGGTATATGTGTTTCTTGTCAGAAACACAAGTCGAAAATGAGTTTCTCAAAAATTCAAAATGGTTTTTTTCCCCCCTAAATTAAACTACAAGAAAAACATGCGTTTCTTAATCATTACTATTTCTCGTATTATACGTGAAACACATGTGGGACATGCATTTCTCGTATTTTAGCAAAAAAAAAAAAAAATCATTTTGAATTTTTGAGAAACCCACTTTCATTTCTAATAAAGATTATAAAAAACACATGTCCCAAATAAACTTTTTTCAATATTATCTATTTTTCAAAAGCTTCCTGTGTTTGTCATTGTCTTTTTTCTTTCCTTTCCATTTCAGTCATTTTCCCAAATAAAATATAGCTTTGCATAGTCGAAACTGTTACTATAAATTGAGAGGCACCTCAAAGGAAGAACATGCAACCGAGTACTCCTTGATTTAATTTAATTGTTTGTTTCCCTGGCCTCTATCCCCTAGCTAGCTAGCTTCATTCTTACCAATGGCTGCCATTAATCATCCACTATCCATTCTTACATCAAACCGCTCTCAGTTGCATGAAGTTACTCGTCATTCTGCCAATTATCATCCAACCATGTGGGGTGACTACTTCCTACCTTACTCTTCTCAAGGAAAGGTAACCGAAAAATGTCTTAAAATTATTTAACAAATGTTAGTTTTTAGGGTACTATATATGTATCTATGTACTCTTTAACTAATTGTTATACCATGGACCAGGGTCCACCTTGTAATGAGGACCTTAGTCTAAAAAATTATATGTGTACAGTTAACATATCGGCCCTGTTTGGTAACATAATTAGCTTATTAGTTAATTTTGACTTATTTTACAACTATTAGATATTTGACTTGGTTAAACAATCAATATGAGTGTTTGATTAATTAGCTTTTTATAACAACTTATTATTGCTCCAACATGCTAATCTGCTATCAATTGCTCGATCAGCTTTTTGGGATCATTTTGCATGTAATCAGCTATCAATTAACAGTTAATTTATCAAACAATTTTCTACAATCACCTAATGATGATAACAACTAGTCAAACCCACTAACTCAATCGGCTAACAGCTATTTACCAAACACTTCATTATGTGTTTGCTATAAATAATTGAAATCACATACATATATAATATGTTAATTGCAGACACATCATTTGAATTTCATTTTTGGCATGTTCCATGGTATAATTGCCACTCTTTGACATGGTTGATTATATTGGTATGTATATACAGAAAGCAGACGATCCACAAGAAGAATGGCAAGAGCATGGACAATTAAAGGAGAAGGTGAAGAACATGCTTGTGGGAGCCCCACAAATTTGTTCCCTGCAAAAACTGGACTTGATCAACAAGATCCAACGCTTAGGAGTGGGCTACCAATTTGAAAATGAGATTGAAGCAACTTTGCAACACATATTCAAGGCCTATTATCAACTCAAGGTTGAAAAAGATAATGAAGAAGATGATCTTTACGCTATCTCTTTGCGCTTTCGACTACTTAGACAATATGGTTATCACGTATCTTGCAGTAAGTGTCATATATAATACTTCAAATACTCCATATGAAGATTAATTAAACACACGCATGATCACTGTTGAAAATTATGGAATTTCCGACCACCTGAAAATGATCTTAAATCAATTCGAAAGCCTTGTTCCCGACCACTTTTGGTATTCGGAAAAACCTTTATTGCTATTTCCGACCACTTTTTGCTTTTGACTTGATTTAAGATCACTTAGGTGATCGAAAATTTCATAATTTCCAGCAGTGGATATACATAGATGGGTCATGATGAACATAATATAATACTTGTACAGATGTGTTTGAAAAGTTTTTGGAGTGTGATGGCAAGTTCAAGGAGTCATTGACCGATAATGTGCAAGCAATCTTAAGCCTGCATGAGGCATCACATCTTAGAGTGCATGGAGAGACGATTTTAGACGACGCACTAAAATTTACCACTTATCACCTAGAATCCGTGCTACCAAACTTGACCCATCCCCTAAGATCTCAAGTCAGTGAAGCGCTAAAGCAGCCAATTTGGAAAAGATTGACGAGGATAGAAGCAAGAAGATACATATCAGTTTATGAAGTTGATGAAACTCATGACATTGTACTCTTGAAATTTGCAAAACTAGACTTCAACATGCTGCAGAAGGAACACCAGAAGGAACTAGGAAATCTTACAAGGTGATATACACCGTTAAACTATGCATTTCATGTTAGATATTATTATTAACTAACATAAACTAACGGAAACGTGAATCACGAGGAACCTGACCTCGTAACAACGGAAGCTTTAGGATCGTCTGAATATCTCTTGTCATGCATAGCTGTTGGAATATTGCCTGTTGGATGGTAAATTTGCAGGATAATGTTAGTGTTTTGTCTATCACTTCTCTCCTGAATACGTGATGGTGTGTGTATGCTACCGGAGCTGTGAGATGACTATTTTGCTTAGAAACCTAATGACTATTTTGCTTAGAAACCTAACGCCATCAATGTATGCAGATATTCCGTTAAAGCCAAATTGAATATCCTAAATTACCTAATTGACTAAATTAGTTATTGATTTAATCATTTACTTGTAACACAGTCACTTAATAATACAATATATTACTCCGTATATTATATTATATGTGGAAAAATACTTTCATTTCACACATAAAATTAAATGGAACACATATATATACTTTGCATGCATCAACTAACCAAAAGTTTGTATATTTACTGAAATATATATATAGGTGGTGGAAGGAATTAAATGTCACAAAAAATCTACCTTATGTCAGAGATAGATTTGTGGAATGTTACTTTTGGATCTTAGGAGTATACTTTGAACCACAATACTATCTTGCGAGGAGATTTCTTGTTAAAGTTATTGCTATGGCTTCCATTCTTGATGATACTTATGATGCCTATGCAACTCTTGATGAGCTCCGGTTATTCACAGATGCAGTCCAAAGGTTCATTTCCATCTATTATATTTTGGCATGTTTGGTAAAATAGTTATCCTATCAGCCAATTTTGGCTTATTTGATCACTATTAGTTGTTTGACTTGGATAAACTATCAATATGGGTGTTAATTCATGTTTGATTAATTAGCTTTTTGTAACAACTTATTGTTCCAAATTGCTAAAATTCAAAAAGCTGCTCAAAGTAGCTTTTTGGATCTGCTTTTTGAGAAAGTCATTTTGTATGTAATCAACTATTAGCTAATTTACCAAATATTTTTCTACAACCAGCTAATATAATACTATCAACTAGTCAAACTCACTAACCCAATAAGCTGACAACTATTTACCAAACATCACCTTCATATTCTTAATTGATATTTTCGTCTTTTTTTTTTTTTTTTACTAAAAAAATTAACAATAGATCGAGTGTTATGCCATCCATGCAGATGGGATCCTAGTGTTGTAAATGAATTACCAGAATATATGCGACTTTGCTACGTGGCTCTTCTTGATGTTTACGCTGAAATGGAGAAAGAATTAGCTGTTAAAGGCGAATCATATCGTATCAATTATGCCAAAAATGAGGTAATTCGAGATTCAATCTAATCAAATTGCATTATATATACTGATTGAACTAAAATGTATGCAAAACTTAGTATGTATATATTTATATTATTATTCATGGAATGTTTTTAGATGAAAAAACTCCTAGGAGGCTATTATCAAGAAGCCAAGTGGTTTCATGATGGCTATTCTCCAAAATTTGAGGAGTACATGAAGGTTGCACTTGTAACGGGAGCTTATATGATGCTGGCAACAAATTCTTTAGTGGGCATGAACCAAGATTTTGTAACTGAAAAGGCTTTTAATTGGGTGATTAGAGAGCCATTAATTGTTCGTGCATCATCTGTTATTTGCAGATTAATGGATGATATGGCTGGACATGAGGTAACAATTACATGTACATATATACATACACTTTTTATATAAGTTTATTTGTGTACTTGTCTGATCCATTCCTGCTTATATAAATATTATTGTTGTAAAAATTGGCCTAGCGGCGCCTAGGCGCTAAGTGCCCCTAGACCCCGTTCCGCTTTCACTATTAGGCGCCCAAAAATCGGCCGGGCGCCTAGGCGGCCAACTCGGCCGAGTCGGTCGATTTCGTCCGATTTTGACGGATGTCGTCTAGTTCAGTCGTCCATATACTAGTTTGATACTTTAAATCTTTAGATTATTGAAGTATTGAAGTATTTTTTATTTTTTAATATTGTTTTAATATTATGACTTATTAATTATCATTATTTCATTTATTTGGATGTGTTATTTTATTAAATGTTGAAAACAGTCTCAATAAAATTGTGAAACTGCAAGTCTGCCACTATTTTTTTGGAGCCCGCCTAAATTCCGCCTAGGCGCTAGGCGGTGCCCAGGTGCCAGACTATAGCGCCTAGCGCCTACTGCAACCATGATAAATATAACTATTATTGTTGAGTGATGGAGAGTTAGATAAAAATAGTAGATCATGTATATTTGCTTCTCTAGAAATAATGCAATAATAATCATATATATATTTGTGTTGATCCTATAGTTTGAGCAACAAAGAGGTCACCTAGATTCAGCTGTGGAATGCTACATGAAACAATATGAAAAATCGAAAGAAGAGACTTATAACGAGTTCCGTGGACGAGTCAATAATGCATGGAAGGACATTAATCAAGAATGTCTTAAACCAACTATTTTTCCCATGTCAATACTCATCCGAGTTGTTAATCTTGCCAGAGTTATGGATTTGCTATACAAAGATGGAGATAATTATACACATCCCACAGCCAAGCTTAAAGCCTTGATTACCTCCGTGTTGGTTGATCCAATCCCATGAATTTAAAAGAAAAAAAAAATTAAATCTGCATATTTTTTTTAATGTAATATTGTTCATGTAATGATCCATGCATGTTTGTTATTTTAATATTTTAAAATAAGATCGTGCCTTGTATTTATTTTTTTTTTTAAAAAAGAAGAAGCTCTAATTAGTTTGTTATTTAATTTGAGTATTATATTATCATGTATGTGTAAATGCTGTATCTATAAAGGGTTTTAATAATCCAAACTTGGTAATAAGGGCATGCATTATTATACATGGCAATTTATATCGTGCACCCGGGCGCGTATTGCATTGTGCATTCTGGTGCAAAACGATGTCGTTTTGAAATTTTTTTTTTTTTTTGGGAAGTCTCTCTTCTCACCTCTATAAAATGCTACTTTGACTAGTGAGAAGATGTCGATTTTACGAAGTACAATATACACAATCTTAATATCTCTTGTTCTCTATATCGTCCATCCTGTTACTGCGGTTGAAGACACCAAGTTTTAGTATGAAGTCTGGCTTGCACGATCAGTCCTCATAGATGATAGCTGGGTTGGTAGAGTAGTGTAGTGAATACCTTGTGTGTATTGAACTCTCTCTTGTACTCTTTTGATCATCTAGTTGAGTGGGCTGACGTGAGTAGCCCCGCAGACGTAGGATTGAGGTTCTGAACTGCGTGAACACATCATAGTGTCTGGTTCTATTTATTATTCGTTTTATTGTCTGTTTTATCTTCTGTCTTAGAATCTGTTGTTAACCCAGATTAAACTATGAATATTAAAATTTAATAGGAATCTTAGTATTAAGTCTTACACTCAAGATCCACACGCTTTTTCAATGATCGAGGCTCAACTGCACATAATAAAACTCAGTCCACACACAAACATCACATATGTCCTGCAAGCATTATATTGTGTCTCCGTATTATATTCTTATTTCCTGTTGAATTTTTTAGCACGCGATTTGGGTGTATGATAGTGGGTTGTTTCTTTTGGTATGATGAATGTGGAAATGCAATAGCATTTAGATGTGATTGATTGTGAAACTAAGGATAGTGTGAGCAGATGTTGATCAAATTTTTGGCGAGAAACAGTGGAGCAAAATAAGGAGTAAATATTAAACACATAGTAAATTGATTTAAATATTTAAAATTATCACATATATAAGATGTCATGTCACGCCATTTTACCTATTTAATCTGAAAGTAATCTACTAAAAATGTTATATGCACAACTTTATAGAGTTAAATAGTTTAATTGTATTTTTTTCTTTCAAAAATGGTCTAATTGCACAAACACTAATAGTTTGATGACTTAGTTGACACTTTATCTTTGAACTGAAGTGTTATATTTCTATTATTTAATTAATAAATTAGAGATAAACATTAAATAAACTCTCGAACTATTTTGAAAAAGACAATGAAGTCATTTTCGCTTGTTATTACAAGTAAACATCAGGTTACCAAATACCAATGACTTGTATATCATAATATTTTACTAATATATATCATAGTAAACCTCATAATATTTTACTAATATGGATCCTATTTGAATTGGCATGTTGTTGTTGTTATTATTATTAGTATTTGTCTCGTGCGATGCACGAAAAATATGTTATAAAAATATACCCTATATGAGGTTTATTCATATATAAAAACTTTTTTATTTAATAATTATGTGTGAATTGATATGATAAAATTATGAACATAAATATATTTACAATTAAAATAAGAATTTATATTTAAGGTGGGTGATTACTACAAATCTTAAACTATATTAAAAATTTAACTCTAGAGTTACCATACAAAATTACCAACAATTTTTAGACTTTTCTAAAAATTTTGATCCGTGCTGACTCTGGAAATTGTAATTCAATTACTATTATAGTTTACTAAGTTCTTAAAAATTTGTAATATTAAATACTATGTACGTACTAAATTTTTAACATTGACATCATTAGAATGATTTCAATTGAAGTTTATTTGTGAATTTTTGGATGGATGGGATGAGTCGAGAGAAATGAAAATGAACTAAGGTTAATTTGAATTTTTATACACCATGTAATAAATAAATAAATAAATAAATCTTATTAACTATTATATAACCATATGACTATATTATAGTTAAGATTATTATTACTACATGGAACCCGTCTTATTTATCTTATGTTAGTTTGATCATTCGTGATTGTATCTCTATTTTTAAAACTTTTAAGTTTTAATTCTTGTCGTGTTCGTCACATTAGTCAAACAACGAACCAGCTAGCTCACGCTTTAACAAAGACGATTAGTTCTCAATCTGGTCCGTTGGTTTAGGAGAGGACCCCTCCCGGTTTTGTTATTGACTTGGTTCATTCCTTTCGTTGTTGCCTTAAACAAAACGATAGAAGGGTCAAATAGACCCATGTACTAACATTGATTGTTCATCTAGCACCATGAATTAAAATATGGTTTATCTGGGCTCTTATACCCTCAATAGTTTTTCATCTAGCATTTTTAGCAAATTTCTAACAAGTAACTCATCTAATTTAATTTGCTTACACGGAAAAATAAAATAAAAACAAAATGCTAACATGTTATTTTTTCATCTAACTTGCCGTTTTTGTCACTTTTTTCAACAGAAAAATTCAATTTTTTTTTAACGTATTTTCAAATTATGTTTATTTCTTCTACGAATTTTTCAAAAAAACAGTGAATCTATTTTTCCCATCGGCTGTGAAATAAGTATGTTACCGCTTTTGTGGTTTTTGAACCCATTTATTGGCATTGGTTTTTATTTTGGTTTTGGATGGTGCATTTATGAGGCTCTTCAGTAGATATTGAGGAGCTTGGAAAAAAGCTGGTTAATAGACTAAGGCACAACGATGATCTGTATATTGCTCTTCATTTGAGGTATAATAACTAGCACGACTTTTGATTTAATGTTTAAGGTGTAACTTAATTAACTGACTTCCTTTGAGTGTAGATACGAAAAGAACATAGTTGCATTTACGGACTGCAGCTACAATCTGACTGAAGTAACAGATAAGGAACTTCGCGTATCGCGTATCATGCTTGAATTTGCAGTCGAAATTGTTACTATAAATTGAGAGGCATCTCCAAGCAAGAACATGCAACGTAACCTAGTAATCCTTGTCTTAATTTAATTGTTTGTTTCCCTGGCCTCTATCCCCTAGCTAGCTAGCTTCATTCTTACCAATGGCTGCCATTAATCATCCACTATCCATTCTTACACCAGACCGCTCTCAGTTGCATCAAGTTACTCGTCATTCTGCCAATTATCATCCAACCATGTGGGGTGACTATTTCCTACCTTACTCTTCTCAGGGAAAGGTAATCCAAAAATGTCTTAAAATTATTTAAGAAATGTTAGTTTTTAGGGTGCTATATATATGTATCTATGTACTCTTTAACCAATTGTTATACCATGGACCAGGGTCCACCTTGCAATGTGGATCTTAGTCTAACAATTATGTGTCTACAGTTAATATATCGGTCCTGTTTGGACATTGGTAACATAGTTAGCTTATCCGCCAATTTTGACTTATTTGACCACTATTAGCTATTTGACTTGTTAAATAATCAATATGAGTGTTTGATTCATTAGTTTTTTTATAACAATTTATTGCTCCAAAATGCTAAAATTCAAAAAGTTACTCAATGTAGTTTTTTATTTTTATTTTTATTTTTTTTATCAACTTTTTTGAGAAAGTCATTTTACATTTAATCAGCTATAATAGTCAATTTACAAACACTTTTCTACAATCAGCTAATGATAGCAACTAGTCAAACCCACTAACCCAACCAGCTAACAACTATTTACCAAACACCACATTATGTTTGCTATAAATAATTGAAATCACATACATATATAATATGTTAATTGCAGACACATCATTTGAATTTCATATATTTTTGGCATGTTCCATGGTATAATTGCCACTCTTTGACATGGTTGATTATATTGGTATGCATATACAGAAATCAGACGATCCACAAGAAGAATGGCAAGAGCATGGACAATTAAAGGAGAAGGTGAAGAACATGCTTATGGGAGCCCCACACATTTGTTCCTTGCAAAAACTGGACTTGATCAACAAGATCCAACGCTTAGGAGTGGGCTATCAATTTGAAAATGAGATTGAAGCAACTTTGCAACACGTATTGCAAGGTTGAAAAAGATAATGAAGAAGATGATCTTTACGCTATCTCTTTGCGCTTTCGACTACTTAGACAACATGGTTATCACGTATCTTGCAGTAAGTGTCATGTATAATACTTCAAATACTCCATATGAAGATTGATTAAACACATGCATATCACTACTGGAAATTATGGAATTTCCGACCACCTGAAAATGATCTTAAATCAAGTCGAAAGTCTTGTTCCAATCGCTTTTGGTATCCGGAAAAACCTTTATTGCTATTTCCGACCACATTTTGCTTTCGACTTGATTTAAGATCACTTTCAGGTGATCGGAAATTCCATAATTTCCAGCAGTGGATTTACATAGATGGGGTCATGATGAACATAATATAATACTTATGCAGATGTGTTTGAAAAGTTTTTGGAGTGTGATGGCAAGTTCAAGGAGTCATTGACCGAGAATGTGCAAGCAATCTTAAGCCTGTATGAGGCATCACATCTTAGAATGCATGGAGAGACATTTTAGACGAAGCACTAAAATTTACCACTTATCACCTAGAATCTGTGCTACCAAACTTGACCCATCCCCTAAGATCTCAAGTCAGTGAAGCACTAAAGCAGCCAATTTGGAAAAGATTAACGAGGATAGAAGCAAGAAGATACATATCGGTTTATGAAGTTGATGAAACTCATGACATTGTACTATTGAAATTTGCAAAACTAGACTTCAACATGCTGCAGAAGGAACACCAGAAGGAACTAGGAAATCTTACAAGGTGATATACACCGTCAAACTGGCCAGCACTTTGCCCCTTAATTGAGTCAGCCCGGTGTGAATGAGGATTAGTCTGAGTAGGTGCCTCCTACTGTTAGGATCTGCTCAGAACGCCTCATGATCTGAACAAATATATATATATATATATATATATATATATATATATATATATATATATATATATATATA